CCCACATCCCTTTCTGTGCTCCATGGGGCCAACAGAGCAAGTGTCTTTAAGGCCAATTGTGGCCCAATAGAGGCTACGGGCTCTGCTACCCATTTCCACACCCACTGAAATGCTATCCTCACTGTAGAAGGCAGAATAAAGACCCCCAAAAGTGTCCACAAAGAATACATCTTTGATGGTCTCCAGAGCCCCTGCATACATGTGATGTCACCTGGCCAAGGAGAGTTAAGGCTGCAGAGAGAATGAAGATTGCTAATCAGCTGTATTTAAAATAAAATATTATTCATCTTCAGTATCCTGGCCCATGCAATCACGAGGGGCCTTTAAATGTGAAGCCTGGACAAATTTGTCAGTGAAGTGGCATGAGAAAGTCTTGTCAGCCCACTGTTGGTTTTGAAGATGGAAGGAAGCCAGGGGTAACTGCATGCAGGCAGAGCTCCAGAGGATGGAGGGATTTTCCTTGGAACCTCAGGGCACTGAAACCTGCCTTCACCTTGAGAGACCAGTGAGACCCTTTTCCTTTCTCCCCTCCAGGCCTCCAGAGAAGGGATCTTTGTTGTTGTAAGCCACCAATTCTCAGGGAATTTGTTACAGCAGAAGTAGCAAGTGGCCACACTCACATCTTGTTTCTCGATGTTCTCTGATAACTTCTTGTTCAAGTGTGTCCTCTGCATGTAATAACCACAAAAGCTGGCCTAGCCATTAACAGGAATCCCCATGTAGGCAGGCAATATCTGTGGAGAGCCTTAAGAGTGATGTGTGCTCTCAGGGCTAGTCTAGTGCCACAGGCATTCCTCATTGAGGTCACTGTCATGGATGGGCTCAAGACTGAAGGAACAATATCAAACTGAAATGATCCAAGAATTACGCCCAGGATACAGAGGCGACTCTGCCAACTCATCACATCTATAACTCTGCCTCTAATCAGCCCACCTCCACACAGATGCATGTGAACTTTCACACAACCATGTGCCCTGGCTATGCAGCTCCACTGAACTCTTCTCCCTCTCAGTCACCACAGTCATGGACCTGTTTTTGCCCATTAAGCTTAACTTACCTTTCTTCTGTCCTTCAGGTGCTTAAAGCAAACCCTCCTTTGTCCTTTGTCCTTTTTGTCCAAGAGTCAGCTAAATGCTGCACTTTCTTGGAATATACCCACTCTCCTATTCTGGAGTTTCAGGAGCTTTTTCACAGGTGCTCAAGTCCCTTGCAGTCAGGATGGAGCAGGCTGGTTTGGGTTCTTATGAAATAACTGGTGAAGTTGATTCAATGGATGGTTTTCAGTAGAGATTAAGGAGACTCTGGGAAAATATCTCAACTTGTTTCTACTGCTTGTATCAAGGCACTTCTGGAGACTTGTGGGGAGTCCTGATCCAATAATATTTTGAACTGAGTTTTGATTTAATATTTGGGTTGAGTTTTGCTTTAAGAGCATTAATAAACAAAGCCAGGCACAATGACCTCAGCCCAGGAACAATGCCCAGTCCCTAAGGGAGTATAGCTAATTTAATGCCAGCACTGGGATTAGG